AAATCGTATTGAAGTATCCCTTACACAACCAGACAATGTTATGTTACAAGATGATAAATCAGCCATTGTATCATCATCTCAATTTGACACAATGAATCAATTAAAACATAATATTATAAATCAAAGTATTATAACTGCTCGGGAAATGGCAGAGAATTCTGCTCAAATTATTCTGAATGAAATGCAAAAATTATTATCCTTCAAACATGATGATCAACACTCACATGAAATACACATCACTGTGGTTAATGCTATTGAAGATCGTCGATTTCATATGATGCAACGTGGCAATGACATGATAAAAGAAAAGTTAGCAACATATTTAAGGCAAAATTAAAGTTATAGTGGTAAAAATGAAAAAAACTCGATTTATGTGATAACTACAATCAGTCATTTCTATTTGCATAGTTTCTGAATATCATAAAGTACGCTTATCAATTATCATAATAAATATTCTTCTTTCGCATAACCATAATTCATTTAGAATTTAAGTTCTCAACCAAGCAATTTCTTCTTTCTCATTTTAGATAATTACATTTGATTCTACTATTTCAAAAGAAAACAATTCTTCTCTTTGTAAATATAATGAAACCTCCAATCAAACAACAACCACCTCATGTAGGAATCATAAATCTTTACATAAAAAAAAACATATAGGCTACACGAACTTTATTCAAACAACATACAAAAATAGCGTATTCAATTATGCTACAATTGCAAAAGTGGAATTTATCCTACTCATTACTATCTATCTTCAACAACCACTGCCACTAAAATGATTCAACGATCACACGATACAAAATATTTACAACTCCGAATAAAACTACAATAATATAATGCAACTCCATTTCTGAAACAACACAGTATATACAGTCCTTATCCATTCATCATTGCTATTATCATTAACTCATATACAAACACCAAGACTACTCATTAAAACTAATTTAGCATCTACCGAACACTCAACACTATCTACAGGTACATGTAATTTATTTTTCATAAACTCTCTCAGAATATCCTACTATCCATCCTGAACAGATAACCAATCCTAGCCTACTTTCTATATTTCAATTGATTTACTGAGTTTCAATTCCAATGATTTCTCCAATTAGCACCTTACCTCCAAATTACTGGATCAGCATACAAAAAAATGCCAAACCACTTCTGAAATCAGTCGAAACGCGTCGTGGCGATCTCTAGTTGTAATACACACC